CGTACGTTACGTACGTATCTCTCTCTCTCTCTCTCTCTCTCTCTCTCTCTCTCTCACACACACACACACACACACTTACTATTAAGTTACGTACGGACGGCGCACACTAGTTTTAGGTTAGTTAGTATCTCTCTCCTCCTCTCTCTCTCTCTCTCTCTCTTACACACACAATTTCGTTCAAGGGGCATAATGGGTTTTTTGGAATCTCTCTCTCACGCACACACACAGATTCAATTTAGTTCAAGGTGCATAATAGGTTTTTGGAATCTCTCTCTCTCTCTCAATTGTCTAAAAGGTACAGAGCAAGCAAATACAGAGAACAATCATCCAAAACCTAAACTAAATACAACTCAGTGAAGGCAAGAAGCATTCATATACAAGCACATAAGCAAATAAACAAACAAAAAATAGAGAACGCATCACCAGATACTAATACAACTCCACTTCCAAGCACCTGTGACTTACCCTCTCGCCTTCTTCTCAGCAAACGACTCCATGGTCTGAAAAATCGGAGTTTTACATCAAATTGACCTATGAGAAAAGCTGCTCTACCAGAAGAAAGCAATGCACTTTTTGAGACCTTCTGTAAAAGAAAACAGTGAATCATGCTAAATAAGAGAAGCACTGTTGGACATGAATGAAGCTACTGTGTGTGTGTGTGTGTGTGAGAGAGAGAGAGAGAGAGAGAGAACCTTAAGAGGCAGATTTGCATTTGAGATTGGGTCAGAGGAAGAACGAAATGAGGTGATCCCTGCAACTACAGATGCTCCTCTCATTTGGGTTAGCACCATTTTCCCACTTTCTTATACTAAAACTCTATCTGAGAAGGTACCCATATGCATAAACCATAAAGTATCAGAAATTGCAGTGGCATAAACCAATGGTGATTGTGTTATTGGTTCTTGAAATTAACAGCTTCCTTGCATGTCCGAGAGAGATATTTGAAGGGAGATATGTATGTTTGTTTGGTCAGAGAGAGAGAGAGTTCTCAGGCTTTCTGGATGAAAAAGCATCGTTTGAAATGAAGCAGGATGGCGCCACGTCGGATAAAAAATCCAATCCATTGGTCATGGGTTGAGGGAAAAACCGCATCTCTAATCGGGAGCGTGATCAAAATCCGTAAAACCTATTAATATTAAAAAATTTGAAAATTTACAGACCAAATAATACGTAATAAAAAACGTTATTTTTAAGATTTGACGTTTATCTCGTATCTATAGATCATCCTAATGGTCGATCAGCTGTAGTATATAAAATCTTCTAGGGTCAAAACAATTATTTTCTAGTGGGTTTTCGAGCTTGGCGTTCCCTTTCTGGTATAAATGTTGATGACTCAAATGATTTTTTTCTTTTCAAAAATTCATTTTGGATACAGATTTAATACTAAGTTACTTTAGGTGCATTTCTGCTTTACGGCCATAATTTTGCCACTCAAAAGATAATGTCTAAAATTTAAATGAACAATGATGACCCAACTAAAGACAGAGCTAAAAAAAATTGACTTCTATGTTCAAACTAATTTTCTTGCACATGATTGAGTTTTCAAATTTAACGGATCCTGAATTTTTTTTTTAAAATACTAAATGCTTCTTTTATAGGCAAAAATTATAAAGAAACCAATCAACCCAACTTCTTTTTTTTTTTTCAAAATCACCCCTCGGTCTAAGGATGGAATCTTCGGTTTGAAGTTTATTTTTTAATTTTTCTGTTAGTTGGGCAATGCTCTCGCTCTCAAACTGAGGGCATTGCACTACTAAAAAAAAAAAATCAGTCCCGAGTATTTTCTTGGGCCAAGGGGTAATCTTAAAAAGAATAAAAAAAAAACCTGTTGACTGTTTTTTTTTGTAATTTCTACATATAAAAGGAGCATTTTATATTTTAAAAAAAATAATTTAGGGTCCATATATAAATCGCTCTCAAATTTATCTAATTATGAAACTTTAGATCCACGAAAAACAAGAGAATAGAGGGAGTGCATAGTGAAACACTTCCTCAGCAAGTCTCAGCTTAAAACATGATCTTTTAAAAAGAATGGCCAATTTTTCAAAAATGTTAAAAATTCTAAGATTTTCAAAAAATATTAAAAATCATTATTATTTTTTGTATACAATCAACAACTTCTTAAAAAGCTTTTTTGAAAAAATTCTTTCTATTGTCATTTCCTTCATCTTTCAAACTTCATTGAAACTTTCAAAATGAAAATTTGAATTTTGGTTTTGATATGAGCTTATTAAAAATACATTTAAATGAAGAGTTTTAATTTAACTAAAACATAGAAGTTCTATCCTCCCCCTACCATCCAGCCGTCTATTTTTTATCAAGAGAGCTACTAACTGTTTGATCTTAGATCCGATGTCTTAAAATTTTTATTTTTAGTTTTCTTTAATACAATTTTTTTGAATATGAAATTTGGTACATGCCATCTTCTCATTGGGGTGCACCTATAAAAAAATATTAACAATAATTTTTCGATAAAAAAAAGACCAAAATACCCATTGAAATTTATAGGGGTATTTTAGTCATTTTATTTTATTGAAAATATTTTTTTTATATTTTTCGTTAGTGCGAGTTTAATAGAGGAATGAACATCCAAAATTCGGTGTCAAAATAGTTAATAAAAAAATAATTAAAAATAAAATAGTATGGAGATGTGGTATTATGATTGGGGCAATCGTAGCCCTCCATTAAAAAATGGATGGTTGGACAAGAGGAGGATAGAACTTCTATATTGTAGGGAGAACATAAAAAGCTTTTCCATAGTATTTAACTAAAAATATCATCTAAACTTTACTTACATATTCACATATATACATATTCCCCCCAAAATACTATAATGCAGAAAAAGTTTACCAGAATAATCAAAAGAATTATTCCATAAAAAATTAGGGAATGTATACAGTGAGATCATTTACCTTTGTTATACGGATGTCACAATTACTTCTAGCTATCAGGTGTCAAATTGGATGGCTTGAAATATACCACAAAGTTCGAGAAATTCCATTCTAAACTTAGACTCTAATCAATGACATACACACACAATCATGTGATTTGAAATCTGACAGACAAGAATCATTGTGATCTCTTTGTACTAAAAACAAACGGTCTCTTTGCATACTTTTCTTAGAAACTATACCCCCTCAAAAATAGTAGAGGTAGAGGAAAAGACTCCTAATTAATTTTTATCTACACCAAGAGCACTATTGTAGATAAGAGAGAGTTAGTTAGTAATTGCTAAAGATTTAAGCTGTTAAGCATTATGGGAGGTTTTTAAATATTGATATTGTATATTATGAGATCATTTATTTTTAGTACAAAGAGTTCATAATTATTTTTAGCCATTGGACGTAAAATCCAATCGATAAAAATGTGTCACAACATTCAAAAATTTTTGTTTTGGACTCTGTGTCTAAACAATAACATATTCTCAGCCATTTTAACTTTAGTAAACAATGATTGTGACCTTCTTATATAAAAAATAAACGGTCTCATTGTACTCGTCTTTCATTGTACTTGTCTTTGCTGACATATTGCTCAAGTCATATGTTACTTTCTCTTTGTATACACAAGTTTAATGAATTTGACTTATTTCAGTTCTCTGTCATTCATTTGTGCACTACAATTTGGATGGATCTCTGTTTTTTATTTTTAAGTATCTATTTACCATACTAATATTTTTTTAATCAAAATCCAATAACTACGTCCATTGTTCTTATTATTTGTTAATGTGATTGTCGTGTTTAATATTGCTACTGTTGTATGCTCCTAGTAAAATAATTGAATATTTGGCGCCATTATTTGTGAGGAAACTTACCATGCATTCGTTTTAAATGAAAATTTATCCAAAAAATTATAAGTATGACCATATATGCTACCAAGCCCATGGCATAAAATTATTTTATTAACTTCATTAAATCCTCATGATAACTGCAAATTGTAACTTTTTACTTGATATCTATGCATAGCTAAAATTTTCAATCCAATATTTTACTCCAATTTTGAAGCAAATTTGAAATATATATAATTTTTTTCTCACCTACTCTTTTATGAGCTATATTTGCCACTACGTTTTAGAATGAAACCTATTTTAGTATCCATTTTTTACTTATCAATATTATATTATTATTTATTGATTTGCTTACTATCTCAAAACCACCCCTAAAAGCACAATTTAAACTTATGTTGTATGATTATTGGGAAATTTATCAATGAGATTCAAAGTATTCAACTTTTTAGCATCTCTCATCAATCAAAACACATCAAAAACATCTCTTAATATGTAGCTCATGAATCGAAGTCATGAATATGTAGCCTGAGATGGGCTTTTTGAAATTACATAAAAGAATAGGTGATGTGTCAAACTTGTTCTTTATGTGCTTTGATAAATTTGCCTTAAACAAGCACCAAATGCCCAAGTATGTTTCTCATTTAAACCAGCTCACACAGGCTCATTCTCTCCCTCTCATCCTCAGTTATTGCAACATTTAGAGTGTGTGACATAGGGTCCAATAGCATATTTCCTCATCACTTGGGCCTGCCTGCCCACTTTCTCATCATTGAAAGGCTACCAGCTTCGTTGCCAATAAATCTCTCACCAACAAGTCACCATGACCTTAAAATGCTTAGTTGCAATAGGCATGAACTTCAACAAAATTGGGAAAAAATAACCTGACCCAATAAAGACTTGAACATGCCACATTGGACCATGGTAGGCGCCTATACACAAAAAGAAGAGAAGAATAAATCACGAGTTAGAAGTGGCCTTTTGCAAGAAAAATTAAACAAGGGGAATTTATCAAAATACACCCAACTTATTTACTATTTAACATTTTACCCATTTTCAACTATGGCAACTCATTATAATATGTATTTTGATAGAATTTTTAAAATGACATCAAAACATTGGTAAAATATTAAATAGTTCATCTCTTGAGGTGTACTTGATAAATACCCTTTAAAACAAAGATGAGGTAGTCGTACTCACAAGCTTTATGAGAAGGATTTTAATAAGCTCACTTGATGAATGGCAAACCGGAACAAACCCTTTGTGCATATTCCTCATAATGATGGCCGAAGAATTCCCTTAAAAAGAACTCTTCATATCTATGCGCTCCCAAGATCAGGAAATTCAAAATAAAACATGAATAGAGTTTACCTTGTCCCTCAAAAAACAAAGAAAAAAAAGACATGAATAGTAGGTCAGATCTCTTGCGAGCAAGAGAGAGAGTTTTCAAATTGTAATCGACGATAAGTAGGATACGGGATTCGCTTTGCGAAGAAGTTCCAAGTAACAACTGTATAAGCCACCATACAAATGGGATTGCATAGCATTATCTGCGTACCCATGGCCCAGATGAAAAAGCCGGAGTATCCTGGGTGTCGGATGACACTGCAGTTTAATAACTACATAAAATTAAATAACTTAACATTTCTTAATTATCAAGAAATTGTATTTTATAAAAAGAGAACCATAGATTGCGATATAAACCACAGATCCAAACTCCAATTATTAGTAAAGAGGACAGGACAAGAAAATGTTGAATTGTGGATCATATTTCCAACAGTTTATCATAACAAGTGACCTCATGGCCACAAATGAAGAGAAGCATTAAAAAAAAGGCCAAAATTACCTGTAGATCCCATGAGATACCAACTCATGCTGATCTTCATGGTAAACTCTGATATTGTGGGTGAAGGCCTGACGAGCTGTAAGAATCCCACATTTACGTATGATCTCTCCTACAACAATCATTGCAAGGCCAATGTTGCTAATCCACCATTGTTCCTTTAATCCTGGAACTAGAATGAGTTCCACCACATATTCCAGTAATGCGCATGCCATTGCTATAAGATATTGCTTGCTAATAAGCAGAGCTGCAAAATATAAATAGAAACATTTTCATAAGCACAAAAAAATTGATGGACAATGGTGTTATTAATTCCAAGTAGCAGTAGATTGATGACCCATTAGCAGAAGTTAGAACTTTGGCATCATGTTCTAATTACTTCCATAAAAAATTTCTGACAAAGGAATAAATATCATGCATATCAACAATCATATCAACTCCGGCAAAGGAAGAGTTCAAGAAACCATTTGATGGACCTATATTTTGGGCATGAACATAGCACTCCATAGAAATAGAGCGTGGTAGGTAAATACGTTGTTTTGTACCTCTCTACACCAGTACATTTGATACCGACCTGAAATACTTAATATAGTTATTTATCATGCAATGCAGAATATTTTCTCATGAAGGACACACATAGACAGCAGTAAATATTAACAAAATATTGCCCTTAAAACAGTGTCAATATGGAATGGAGAAACCAAACGACTTTCTCAAAAAAAAAATGGAGAAACCAAACGACAAATTTCTTTTTTTTCTAATATGTCAGCTTTGCTGATCTACTCCACCTTCTAACCCAACATCATTTTTGATTGATGAGGACATCTTGAAAGAGTTTGATACCTTATATTCATCAAGGCCCCATAAGTAAAAGGAAAACCTCTACATGTGGCACCACCCTCAAATAAAACACATGCGATTACTATTTTCAGTTATCTAATCTAAATGGTCACCTAGGATAGCTTCAATCACAATGTCATGCTTAACACTGTTTTATTTTAAATATTTTATACAGATTATCTTGATGTAAAATTTGGGGTGTGCCCACTCCTTACAGGACCACACCTAACAAATATTTCTGATAAAATAAAATGGACCACAATACTCTTGATTGTTGAAGGGGCATTTTGGTCAATTTTTTTATTTAAAGCATTTTTTTCTTATTTTTATTCGGTGCACCCCTATGAGAAGTGAGCACATCCCAAATTTCATGTCAAATTAATAAATAAAATACTCTGTGCTGTTTGATCAAGATCAAGTGTTCAGAGGCTAACTTTTCATGAAATTTCTGTTGATGGGAGGATGTGTGAGCTTCCCAAGAAGAAGGTGGAAGTTCGATGTCAGGACTCTGCACTAGTGTCTCAAACAATCTCTGGTCAAAGCTAGAAGGATGGAGATGCTGCAAGTTCCAACTATGGTACCAGGATAAAGGAGATGCACATCTCTCGCCACAGATCTCGAGGGCAATTCAATCTTGACCGTCCATCCTTTCAAAAGGGAGATATTAAAGGAAAACGAATCATTCAGAAATGGGTGGTACGTTATGATGGCAATAAATCTAAAGCTTCAAATTCAAATTATCCCACCTCAAGATCTGTACCACTGCATCTCCATAATTCTTTTCAGCCCCTTGAAAATTAAAGTTGCTGACTCTTACACATGTGTGGGCGAACCATCACATTGCAACTCCCTCATGATGGGCAAGGCAGTGGCAGTTCACCTCCCCACGACCTCCATTCGCGATCAAGGGGAAATCAGGCCCTCTTCCACCTCTTCACCACCTCCATTCACAGAGCCGTCTATTGCCTATGAGCAACCTCAATCAATGCCGGAAAGGATGATTCTCACAATGAGGGCTGTCCAAAAAAAGACACAGCCCAATATCCCGCCCCGGATGGTATATGACCTCAATGAAGAGGAGGAAGTCGTTGATAATCAGCCATTCATCAGTACTCATAGTGAAAAACTTTGTTTAAAAAATGACCCAGCTATCCCCCTGGACCAAGACAATATGGCTGGTGCTCACTTACACGAACCCATCATTGTTGCACCACTCGCAATGAGATTTCCAGTGGCTGAGGAGGAGGATGTTTTTGAAGAGGATTTGGTAGATGATGATAATCTTTGTGATGGGGATGATTTGCCACTAGTTCTCCACCCCATGGCAGTTGGGAATGTGTTGGAAGCTATGAGCGTCACTTATGTTGAGTCTTTGGACATCATTACTGAAACTCTGAGGTCGGTCCATGAGAAAGATATGGTTGAACATAATGGAGGTAGCAAGGTGAAGAAATCAAAGCGGAAAAGAAGGGTTCAGAAAAAGCTTGATAACCTGGCATGCAGTATTAACTATGATAAGGATGAGGTACGTGGCTCTTCTCGTGCGCACTCTGAGCCGGTGCCCACTGTGTCTGCTGGTTCCTTTGGGATCACCAAGCACAGGATAGGTTATGTTTTGGAATGAAAATTTTCTGTTGGAACGTTTGGGGCCTCAACAGTTCTCTGCACAAAAAAAGATGTTCGGTCCTTCTCTCGTCAAGAAAGGCTAGACATTTTGGTTATCAAGAGACAAAAATGGGGGGCCCGAAAACAGCTTTAGAAGTTTGGGGGAGGAGGTCCTTGGATTTTGTAGGCTTTGATGCCGTTGGACTTTCTGGAGGTATATGGATTTTATGGGACCCCTCTTTTCTACAGGCTATTGATTTTGTCATCTCTTTTAGACATACATCTGTTTTGTTTAAAGGACCTTTGGATGATTTTATATGGTATTTGACTGCTGTTTACGGTCCTAATAGACCATATGAAATAACTTTATTTTTTGATGTGTTATTTAGTGTCTATCCCAAATTCAATGTGCCCTGGTATATTGCTGGTGATTTTAACATTATTTGATGCCCTTCTGAATCCTCTTCTATTCCACGAATGTCTTTTTGCATGTAAGTATTTGATGGTTTCATCCCAAGGTATGAACTGGTGGATATTCCATCTATTCAGGCAAAATTCACTTCGTCTAATCACAATTTTGATGAGCCTATTTTAACCAGATTGGATAGGTTTTAGGTTACCCAAAATTTTGTAAATCGTTTCCCCAATTTAAATGTCAAAGAATTACCAAAAGTCACTTCGGACCATGTCCCTCTGTTACTCAACACATATGGTTTTACTATACATATGCCCTTCAGATTTGAAATTTCCTGGTTGACTGACAGATCTTTAATTGAATAGTTGAGAATTTATGAAAAATACACAGGTTGATGGGCGGAAAGGCTTAGCCTTGAAGGAAACTTAAACTTTTGAAAGAGGAAATTCTTTGTTGAAAAGAGGCTCTTGGGGTAACCACTTGCATTGCCTCACTCCGAGATCTCCTTAGACTAGAAGAGATCCATTGGAGACTGAGATCAAGGGTCTGATGGCTTAAGGAGGTAGACAAGAACACTAAGTTCTTTCCGGCTATTGCAAATGCAAGGAGAAGAGGTAATTCTATTCAAAGTGGGTTGATTGTGAAAACTCTTTAGAAGTGGAAGTAGTGCTTACTCGTCACTTCAAGCAGTCCTTTACCTTTGAAAAGGCCTTGAATTGGTCCCTTGCTAATGTACCTTTTGTTAGACTCCCTTTAGAAAAGGCTGTTTGGTAGGAAAGAAATTGTGAATTGGAGGGAGATCAAGGAGGCAGTTTTTGGGTTACGTAGAGATAAAGCCCCGGGTTCAGATGGGCTCCCATTAGCCTTTTTCCAAACCTTTTGGGACCTCTTAAAGAGGATCTGTTTAGTTTGATGGAGGAGTTCTATTGGGGAGGAAGGACTAATATAGCCATGAACTCTACTTTCATTGCGCTAATTCCTAAAAAGTCAGTTATTCAAGAGGTGAAAGATATATGGCCAATTGGCTTGCTGGGCAGTTTGCATAAAATTATAGCCAAGGTTTTGGCTAATAGGCTTCGCCAGGTCTTACACTTGGTTGTTCAAGGGCCACAATCAGCCTTTTTGAAAGAGAGACAGATTATGGATAGTATTTTGGAGGATCAAGAATGTATTCACTCAAGGATCAAGGATAGAAAGCCAGGGTTGATTTGTAAGTTGGACTTTGAAAGAGCATATGATAAGGTGGATTGGGAGGTGTTTTAGAGCATAATGGGTGGTATGGGCTTTAGGTCTCGTTGGAGGTTGTGGACAGAAGGTTGCTTGAGTTCTGCTCATTTTTCGTTGTTGATAAATGGAAAGGCTACTGGTTTCTTTAAAGCTTCTCGAGGCCACAAGGGGACCCTCTCTCACCATTCCTATATACTTTGATGGTTGAATGTTTTAATGTCATGTTCAAGGGAGTTACTTCCAAGGGATATATTTCTGATGTAAAAATTGGAAATAGAGGTCTTATGGTATCCCATTTGCAATATGCAGATGATATCATTATATTTTGCGATCCGTGTGATAGAGAAGTTACTAATCTTTGGATTTTTCTTAAATGTGTAGAAATGGCAACAGAATTGAAACTCAATCTAAGCAAGTCTAAGCTTATTGGGATAGGATGTCAAGACAGTCTGGTGGGTAGTTGGCGAAGCTCTTGGTTGTGGTACAGAAAAGTTTCCTTGAAGGTATTTGGGCATTCCTTTAGTGGATACTAAACCTTCTAAAGCAATTTGGAACCCAATTATTGAAAGATGTCAGAACTAGTTGGACCTATGGAAGGCTAAGACCCTTTCTTTGGGAGGAAGATACACTTTAATCAAGCCCACCTTATCCAATCTTCCAGTATACTTTATGCTCCTATTTTGTATGCCTATGCAAATTGTCAAACTTTCTATGGGGGATGTGAACAAAGATAAGAAACTTCATCTAGTGAAATGGGGAACAATTTGCAATCCGGTTAGGGAAGGAGGTTTGCGTATCAGAAGATTGAATTTCATGAATTCCAATTTATTGACAAAGTGGTGGTGGAGGATACATTCTCAGCAAAAAGCCTATTGGGTGGGAAGTTTTAAGAGATAAATATGGAGAAGATACCCTCACAGGAATTATTAAGAGTCCAAGAAATAAATCTAATTTTTCCTTCTTATGGAGATGCATTGATCACTGTAGAGACACTTATTTGAACCACATCAGGAAGGCGGTTGGTGATGGAGATCAAACCCTCTTCTGGTTTTGATAAATGGTTGGGGGATGAGCCTTTGAGACTCCAATATCCAGAGGTCTTTACCAAAGTTTTGAACCCCTTGGCTATTGTAAAAGTGGCAAGTGGGAGTGTTTTTACTAACATTGTTTGGTTTTTACCTTGCAAGTACAGGGGGGTCTCTGAGGCTTTCATTGAGGCCTATCAAAACTTCTTGAATAGGCAGAAGGATGTATACATTCCACCCAATGAAGTAGACTCGATTGTTTGGGAATGCACGAAGTCTGAGATTTCACAATGAAATCAACCTACTATTTGTTGTTTCAAAATCATCACAGTGCATCAGATCCCTGGCTGCGAATGACTAGAAAGATCAATGTCCCCACAAAATTTCAGATGTTCTTATGGATCCTTTGTCAAGAACGTCTGGCAACAGTTGACAATCTAAGGAGAAAGAGCTTCAATATTGTCAATGGCTGTATTTTATGCAAAGCTGACAACGAAAGTGTTCCTCATCTTTTCTTGGAGTGCTCCTTTGCTTTGAACCTGTGGAGCCGGACCCATCAGTTGTTCAACCTTCAAGTACCCATACCAAGAAATACTAGATCTCTTCTTGAACAGTGGATAACACCAGGGATCTCTAAGATAGGTACTGCTCTATGGAGGTCAGTTTGGGTGAGCTGTGTTTAAGGGAATTTGGAAAGAGCGAAATACAAGAGTCTTCCAGGGACTTGTGTTAGAAGAATCTATCCTTAAAACAAATATCTTAGCATTGGCTACAGATTGGTTTCTACTAATAAGGATTGTGCAGGTATTCCCGAAAGCTTTATAATAATGCATCCTTTTGAAGTAGCTAATCTTCATAGCTATTAAGCAATCCGGCGTGTAGTATGGATCCCGCCTCCTTCAAACACCTATAAATCCACTTTGATGGCAGTTCCTTTAGAATCCAGGAACAAAGGGTTTTGGAGGGCTTATCAGAGATCATCTTGGGAAGATCCTATTGTCTTACTCTGGTCCTTGTGGTAATACAACAGTCAATGAGGCAGCACCTAGAGGTCTATGGGAGGGAATTGAATTGCTTTTAAAATTTGATGGAGGAAAGGTTATTGAAGGGGACTCAGCGAATATTATAGCATGGTGTAAAAGAAAAGCGCGAGTTCCTTGGAGACTTCTCCATTTTTCATGAAATTTGTGACATTCTTCAGTCACTTGACGTTGAAATACTCCATTATTATCGTGAAGCAAATATTGAAGTTCATTCTTTGGCCAAGGGACGTGACTTTCAATCCTCATTGGTGATTACCAATTTTGTGTGATGTACCTTTATGTATTTTGTTCCCCTTATAACTTCACTGGTTTATAGTTAATAAAATCGTCTGTTAATGTTAAAAAAAAAAAATGTTTTAGAGGGTAACTTGTGACATTACTACTATGCTTATTCCAGCCGTCCATTCATATCGGACGGCTGGAAATGGTAGTAATATTTGTTTTATATGTAGTGGTGCTATGTGCAAAGGTTTCCCTAAGTGGAAAGGGTAGAAAGAAACACATCAAGTATGGAGGTCGAAGCTACCTCTTACAAGGACAGACCAGACAGAAAGAGACATCCCAATTCCCAAAAGGCATGTAATAGCTACGAATTACGCATAGGAAAGGGCTGGAATGGAAAAACATAAGGCCTAAAAGCACAAGACAGCAAAATAAAAAAAACGATGTCATGAATCTAATCTCATGATTGTTTCCCCTTGAATTAAAGAGCTCTAAAAGAATAAAGAGACCAAAATCTGACTAAATATGCCACCAGTGGTAGATAATGAACAACAGGAAAATGCACAATTTAAGCGACATTGATAATCTAAGGTGGCACATCCATCTAATTTCAAATAGGTAAGTGAACACTTTATAAAGGTGAACGAGTAATTTGGAGACCAAGAAGTACTTCTACAATTTAGGCATTCTCGAATATTCCTGTAAGCTGGCACAACCTATTGAAAACACCATTGTTGAGTACATCGACGAGGCAAAAGACTGAAACTAGATTGAATTGCAGAGATGTCCATAGTCTACTTTTATAGCAGAATTAAATTATTGAACAGTAGGCTCTTTATATCAGGTATCTTACAAACCCATCAAGAGAATGCATTCTATGTACTTAGTGGAAGATCCCCAATAAGCAAACAATCTCTACAATATTCTTTGTAACATAAATGGTTCAGGTGACCCAACTGACAACTTCTCAGATTAAGAAACTCCCCTTCGAATATCAGGTAGCCAAGAACGATGCTACAATATCCAAATTTGATGTAAATTGTAGCCACCATCACCTAAGAGTCGACTATTCCAACTGAACCGGCATAAGCCTTCTTCACTCATAGTAAACCCAATCCTTATGCAAGCCCCAAAAATATAAGACCATGTCACTGAGAGAGCTGCAACCAAAAAAGTGAGTTTTGAGTACTCGAAGAAGGTGCATGACTGTTCATTTGCTCCCCAATGTTGAACTAATGTCTAAATTCACACTTTGGAGCTCCGGTTTCTTACAATTGTTATTTTTAACAACTCTGTTCTATTAGTACCCAGGAGGAAGTGCTCATTCTTATGCATTCATCCCCGTTTATATAGTTTATTATCAATCACCCTACGAACCATACAACCTCACTCCAAAAATGGGACCACTACCCAAAAAAAAAAGGAAAAGAAAAAGGGACCACTGCAAAATCGAAAAGTAGGCCCACAAGAGTTTCAATTAACACCCAAACCCAAAGAGTCTGGCTGAGCTCCTCTAGCAACCTTGCAGCCAAATCCATCTATCGTGATTTTCTAGCACTTTTAGTAAGATTTTGAACTGATCAAGAAACACTTCTCTAAACCATATATGGATTATTTTTAGTAATCAGAATTCGAAGTGATGCATTTCTTCCATTTGTCCTTCATCTCCTTTTCTTTTGCAAGCCTTCCATTTCCCTTTAACTTTTTAAATTTGTTCTATTCATAACCAATAACAAAACCAGTGTTTAGAACCTCTCCTCAGCCAAGGGACTTAGCCCTTGACTGAGGCTAGTTACTTGACCGAGTTGGACTCAGTTGAGTCAAACTTGGGTCCAACTCGATTGAGTCCTGTACAAGGCCAAAAGCCCTTGATAAATTAAGAAATAAGAAAAATTTTAAAAAATAAATGAGATGTAGTAAAAGTAAAATAAAACCAAAAGCATAAAAAGTCCAAATAAGCTTAAAAAATATAGAAAAATGGCCTTAAAGAAAATTCATTTACAGTTGGGGACATTTTAAAATCCAAACCAGTATCTGCATCAAGCAATTCATAACCCAAACCAGTATCCAAGTTAACATTGTAACAAAAATAACTCTACACATTAATACATCTATCATTCTCCAAATTGTAATACGAAATCCAAATTCAAACACCAAAAAAGAAATATCCCCATTTTTACTTTAAACAACGATGATAGCACAACGAAAGAGAGAGAAAAAAAAAAAACTATTTTTAATTCAATCAATAAGATAGCAGGGTATTCCATGGCATAAACAAATATGACATTGGACATCAACCAGATAAATCAGATAATAATCAGATAAAATCCCAGAATCACACAACAAGAGAAAGTTGGGTTTTCGCTAAGATATCAAACGAGAAAGAACCATCTCAAATTTGAGAGAGAGAGAGAGAGAATTACAGCTTACTGATACATTATGAAATCCATGAATGAAGATGGCCAACAAGAATTCAGAACTGTGGAAGAAGCAGACAGCTACAAGCATCTGAATCAATTGCTTGGTTCCAACATAACCTAAAAACTCCCCCATTGCTCCAATGGAAAGAACCCAAGATCCAGTTTTAGCAATAAATGAGATTCTATGGTTTTCTCTAACGTTAGCAGAGAACACACCCTCAAGATCATAGAGAAAGAACATTTGTAGACCGAGGTTCCTTTCTTCCAATTCTTTATATAGCTGTATTGAGAATTAGGGTTTTTGCCGAACCTCAGTGGAAAAGGGAAAGGCACAACACTGCGTATGCTTTCCGCACCTCTGCGACGGAGAGAGAGAGTTACAAAGGGAAAAAAACTTTCCTAGAGACGGGATATGCGGAAGCGTGAGTTTTTATGCTACAGGTAGCATTGTAGCGCCATTTGTTTATTTTACGCTGTTCAAATTTCCACATACAAAAAAATAATAGTAATAATAATAAGAAGATCGACTTTCTATAAAGCCTAGGTTTTGCCCTTAAATCTTCGTCCCACAAAGAACTTTCAGCAACATAAATGTTTATGATGCCTTTAAAATCAATTTCTAACATCAACAATAAAATTTAAAACTTAAAAACGGGTAGTGGATCTTTGTACACTTATTTTTAAAGTGAATTAGATTGATTAAATAATTTGTTACAATATATACTATTTTTAAAGTTTAAAATCTTAATTTTTTTCACAACCATAATATTCAAGCCGAGGTGATTAGTGTAAAAGTTTTTCAATACTTGAATTACAATTTTTTCAATGCTTAAATTATTTTGATAGAGTTGCAAAGTTATAAAACCATTTTCCCAAAAACAAAAAATCCAGAAAAAAAAAAAAAACAGTATTCGAATCTTAAACGGCCTGAAGGAACCATATGGTACCGGGTCAAGTCTCTACCGGAATCGGTCGAGTCATCCAGTACACTTACAAAGTTTGCCCCTAAAAAAAAAAAACGAAAAAGAAATTTTCTTAGCCTCATTATAGAACTTTTTGGCTTGATCATGAATCAGATATTATAATCATCCCAATTTCGATTGATTGTAGCACCAATTGACCTTTATTAGCCCGTATTGACTATGGCTTTTGAAGATAGATTTTTAAAAAAATATATATATTTTGAAACAAGAACCCCAATCCGCCATGAGACAAAGTTCTCTTTTGTTCAAAACCAAATGCTTTTTGAAATATATATCCATTTGATTGTATTTGAGCTCTCTATCAAACCCTATAGTGATTTATTGCATAAAGTTGCAAAGTAAAAAGAATTAAGAGACCAAAATCAGCAATTATTTGAATCCAAAATAAAAAATCTTCAAACTCTCTCCCCATTTTTTATCAAATTCAGTAAAAATTTGTCCCAAATTTTCCGAACACATCAGTCTAGGAAATCCCTAATAAAGTTTATTGAATTAAATACCGATTTTTTTATATTTTTCAGCTATTTTTTCTCCCATTTCTATTTCCAAATGTTATTTTGATTTAGATTTTCTGGCTTTAACTTTGATTTATACATCCTATGTGAAATCATCTTTCTTGTTTTGAATACTTGAATTTATGTCTTTTAATCCTTCAAAATTATCTTTTGAATAATATATTCTTGGTTATCTTATGTAGGGTTTAATAAATTTTGATAAAATGTACTGTATTTATTGTTTTGTTTTGATTTAGGTCAGAACTAAAAAATTTAAAGGAAATCAAAATTTCTCACAGATATCATTATTATTATTATTGGTTATATGTTGTCTTGTTGAACGGTTTAAATAATGGACGGGGGTTTCTATGAGTCGGCCTATTCATATGTAGATATGTGGCCCCCCACTAAAATTCATTTTAGATTACTTTTTTCTAATATTGTTTTTGTAGACTCATCATCTAGGCTAATACAATCATAAATATGAAAATAAAAATAAATTTTTAAAATTAAAAATATAAATTTTTAGTTTTTTATATGCACCATCTGTATTTTATTTATGGACAATATACTTTAGATAACGTCCATCTTTAGGATGGTCGTTTATAAGTCGGCATGCTCTTGCACCCACCCACTCATGAAACACTTTTCTTTAAAATAATATATGCATTCATTTAATTTCCTGAAAGTTAAAAAAAAAAAAAGAATTAAAAAGTTGGTTTTTTTTATGTTGCAGGTTGATGGTGGATGGGCTTTTATCTAGTTTTTTATTAATATTTGTATCTATTAAAAATGTTTCCTCGACTTAGGGTTTCATTAAAGGTGTTTGTATCTCTTAGGGAGGGTATTGTTAAATATTTAAATAATATCCATATATTATATTCCCATGGCAGTAATATTATACAATTACTACAAGGGGCATAAGACTTACTATGGAGAAATTTTTTAATTTAAAATTTTGGGAACTATCTAAGAATTATCATATGATTATTATCATACAATTTTTATTTTTATTTTTATTTTATTTCTTGAAGACCTAGATCTTACCTTTCAAAAAATGGATAAAGGTTAAATTTTATAGGCACATAAAAGTGTTCTATATAAGAACAAAAATTTCCTTTGAAGTTCGTTATGATGATATAGAGGTTATATCCCCAAATTTTGTATGAAAAAAAACAAAAAAAACATGAGTTTTACCCTAACGGAGCAAATTCACGTAATGCTTTGCGGGAAAAGCAAATCTTTTAAAATTTAATAATTATCTCAATTTGTTTGGGCTCTATCTTAGGTTTTCCTAAATAATTTTAAGAAAAAAAATACGATAATTGTCATGTTAAGTTTAATGTTCAAAATTTAATGTAATTGTATTTTTTTTAGGTAGGGTTTAGATTTTATTGTTTTTGCTTTTTTGTTCTTGTGTCAATCCCAAGCCTAAATAAAAGAGGAAGATTATGTTAGGTTGGCAGTCAGTGAAATTTTATTTGTAACATGTTGGGCATACTTATAGTTTAACTAAATGTATGGCCCTTGACGTAGCTGAATCGCAGAATAAGATTTATATAGGGACCCCAACTAATTAGAATAAGACTATAATGGGTCTTTTTCCAGATGTGTTGCATTTGAGACTTTAAAATAAAATTTAGTACCCATCATCATTATTAGAATCATCGAAACCTTTTTTCATCCCTTTAAGTCGGTTACACGAGTCTTGGTTCGACATGTTCCTCTATCAAGGGCCATATCCTAAATAAAATCATAAGTCCCCATATTTTTCTTACCGCTTTCAACTATGTCATTTTTGGTCTACACTTTGCCCTTTTTTAGCCTTCCACTATAAAGAACTCGTGCATCTTCATAGGTGTTACACTAGATTTGTATTGCATATGGCAAGCCAGTCTACTTTTCATAAGCTGGCACTGTGTGGCTGGGCTAGCTAGCACAACAGGGGCACTCACATTACCCCACCCAGTTTTTGGCATGAATTGGCCCCTTAGACCACAACTAGGGCTCATGCTCTAATATTCTATGACTTGACTGACTCACTATTGCCAACCATGTTAGACACTAGGGGTGGTAAGTGTGTCAAATCGAGTTCGGTTTGATCGTAACCCGACACATGGATCCTGACCCAACCCAGATCCAGGATGTGCCCAAGCCATATGGACATGGACTTGACCAATTGTCAACCCATTTTTATACCAACAACCCCAATGGAGTGGTGAATCCATAAAATACTTTTCCTTAAGGAAAAAGTTCATATAAGATTGCAACTTTAAAATGTAGAATTAAAGATGCATCTCTAAAATCCATCGGAAAATGTTGTTTTAATATTGTAAAACCCTATTGATCATGTTGACATGGATATGTATGAATACGAAGAAAAAAAAGATTTAGAGTCTCATAAATAATGCATCTTGCAACACATTATCTAGACTTCATAATTTTATAATTAAATATAAAAATAGATTATCAGATAATCAAAATAATTTTTTACATTAAAATTACATATTATCATAAAAAATTGGAGGTGCACCTTAATTGGATGGTTTAAGGTTGCAACGTTATAAAAACCTCACCCTTTCTTTACATAAGAATCTTTTGGCAAGGAAGAAGGAGAAATGTTTCGAAAATCGACAGCTTTGTTAAAATTTCAGTGAATTTCGTTGTCAATGGAATTGGGACTGAAGCCAAATAACGGTGTGAATGTCTGGTGTCACGAATCAAATAATAAGACACGTTTCTCTCTCATATCAGATGCGATTTCCCTCAGAAAAAGAGAGGGGAGAGAGAGGGAAGGAGATGTAGAGATAGAAAGAGAGAGACGTGAAGAGAGAGAGAGAGAGAGAGAGAGTCCAAAGAATGCCAGCTTTTAAGAGGAAGAGATCCTCGGTCTAAAGACTGTAAACTAATCCCTTCAATATATTCCACACTCCAATGGGCCCTCCATGTCATCCGCCTGATTCATGTGCTCTCAGTTGCAGAAAATCCAAACCATACCCGCCCAGAAACTAGAGAGAGAAAGAGAGCATAAAATCCAAATCACAGACAAATAAAATCTAGAGAGAGAGAGAGTTTGGTTACATGGATCAAAAAACATAGACTGAAACAGAGAGAGAGCTGGGTTTTATCAAGAAAAATTCAGAGAGACTGATTTTCCTGATATTGGATTTTGTGGGTGGAGAGAGAGGAGAGAGAAGAGAGGTTTTGGGGCCACTAGAGAGAGAAGAGACAAACTGAAAATTGCTTTTTTGGGTTATGAGAGAGAGGGAGAGAAAGGTTTTTATGGCTTGCTACAGAGAGAGAGAGGGAGATCTCACAATGCATCTTGTTTTGTATCTTCAAATTGGAAGAAAAAAATTGTTTGAATTCTTGGAGAGAGAAAACAAATCTTACACAGAGAGAAGTTCATGTCCTGTTCAAGTTCAAAACTTGAAAAGGCCATGGTGGCTTCTTCAAGTTCTCGCTACATTCATCCCCTGATTCAACCATTCTTGAATCCTGGTTTCCTTTCATGGATCTCTCTGAACAGCTAGATTTATACGAATCCGAAGCCGAAGGCCGCCCGGCTTTGTGAGAGTACCCCAATTCCAATTTGGGTCCTAACCATTCTTTCTCATTTTTCTGATGATCTCGGTTATGATACCCTGTACACAATGTCAATTGCAAATCTCTCTCTGGTTCAAAAAACGTGCTTTCGTTCTTGAATTTCGACTTCTCGATTTTTCCAAGCAACGGATTTTGCTCGTTAGTGGCCAAAGCTTCAGCCGGGTCATAATCTTCGGCTGGTCGTTCCAAATCAATGCCTTTATCCCTCGAACAACTTCTAATTTCATGAAAATTCTTATAGTTTCGCTCTCTAGAACCCTGATAGTTGTAATCTACACTTGGTTCAGTGAGAGAAAGTCGGTTCAAAAACTCCGAATTTGATGATCTTGGGCTGATTCCAGAGCCCCAAAGCCTTGTCAACGGTGTTGAAGAGGAAGAGGGAGAGTGAATTTGATGAAATTCTTTCTTTTTGAGCTCAGACATCAGTGATTTCTGAACTCTGTAGAGTCGATGGAGTTCGCGAACCTGCATTCATAACCGCCAATTACCGAATTTTCAGTTATTTTTATGCAAAGATGTAATTTTTTAATTATTTCGGAGGATATTTGATGAAGCATATGATTTCTTACACTAAATATCCATAAAAAGAAAAAAAATCAAATTATAGTGTTGACGTTTTAAGTTTGGTACAGTGTTAATATCATAAATCTCATAAAAATTCCAGGAATGTTAAAAGAAGATATTTTCTGAGAAATCAGTGTAAATATATCTGCATTAATCGCATTAATTTTTTTAAAATACATGTGAAATTTTCTTTTTTCTCACAAAACTAATTTACTCTTTCATAAAAATTTCCCTCGTTATTATACCAATTATCAACTTGGTTCAGCATTTTATCCCAAATAATTATTTTAGCTAATATAAGTATTATTGTAGGTTAAAAAAATGTTAGAACTTTTCATCAAAGGAAATTCACATAAAAATTCCATTTTATTTTTAGAACTTAAAAATAATCCCCTATACTTCATATTTACACTCAAGTCCCAAAATTTTAAAATGTATCATGCATTTTGATTATGCTTTTTTTTTTTTTGTAAATTAGAGTAAGCTCAAATTTGTTACAGTTGAATGCCGAATGTCATGCTTCTCATCATCTCACACTCGTAAAAAAATATAAAACAATAATTTAATGATAGTAATGACTAAAATAACTATACAAATTCTAGGGTTATATTTGTTAAATTTATTTTAAAATATTATTATTTTACTCGTGGGTGACTGTAAGAAGTATAACACCCCCAATTTGAGATGAATCCGATGTATAGAAAAAAAAAAAAAAAAAAAATTAAATTGTATTTTCTGATCTAAAAAAGTGGGACTCAGGCGTACAATGTGAAATAGATGGATTATATTTGAATTCCAAGAACCAAAATAGGAATTTTGGATAATTTTCCAAAAAAATTCCAGGACTAATGTTAGGAAAAGGGAAATCAATAAAATTTCTATGATCATTAAAACTTAAAGGAGTACATTTAATATTAAAAAAATACCTGCTCTTTGAATATCTCTTCATGCTTGAGCATAGTGTTCTTGACTGATTCTCTACTGTGCTGATCTTGAAACCTCTCCATTACTTGCTGAAGCTGAGGAAAACCAGTGTTTAGGAGGCCCTTATCTGCAAAAAGAGCCCAAGTGTGTCTTCCTCTAACCCTTGTTTCTCTCTCTTCATCAGTGTTGCCCTCACAAAGATTTGTGCCCAGATTCACCACATGCTGTACTTTAGTTCCCATGCCTGAGAGAACCACATGGAATTATCAGAGAAAGAGAGAGAGAGAAAGACCGAGAGAGTTTGCCTTTGCTTAATCTTAGTTGAGAGACTTGTATTAAATGGGCTTATGTTTCAGAGAACGGGAGGGAGGGAGATAAAGAGATGAAGCCAATTTGCAATTGGCCTGTGGGGAAAGAGAGAGAGGACAACATTACTAAAAAGCACAGGGAGGGGGGGTGAATTGAGAGACTTGTATTGGTGGGGTAATTTTTCATGGAGAGAGAGAGAGAGAGAGATAGAGAGAGAGAGAGATAGATAGAGAGAGAGTTGCATTTGCCTACACTGAATTGAGAGACTCGTACTGATTGGGTAGTTTTTCATGGAGAGAGACAGTTGCCTTTGCCCACACTGAATTGAGAGACTTGTACTGATGGGGTAATTTTTCATGGAGAGAGAGAGAGAGAGAGAGTTGCCTTTGCCCTCACTGAATTGAGAGACTTGTACTGATGGGGTAATTTTTCATTCATAGAGAGAGAGTGAGCCAATTTGCATGTCATATAGAGAGAGAGGGAGGGAGCCAATTTGCATGCCCTATAGAAAAAAAGAGAGCCAATTTTCATGTCCTATAGAGAGAGAGATTGCGTTTGTCTGGGAGAGAGAGAGAGAGAGAGAACGAAACTTTTTAGTGGGAGAAGCAGATCTATAAGCCATTTTCCTTTGAATGTGAATTTCATGTGAATTAAAGCGCTGTACATCAAGATGTGGATTCCTTTACCATAACTATGAAAGTTTGGTGAAGGAGTTTGATCCACCGGACATTTTAGACCAACGAAAAGGAGACTGCACCTCTCAAACCTTAGACTGATATTAATATGGAAACTCAGACTCTATGAATGATCAAGCTATAGCACATAGAGAGAGAGAGAGAGAACAAAATGGTTTGAATTTAATTATGCAAGAGAGACGCAAAACCAACCCACTCAATTTTCGATGTATTTTTTCATTTACAGAGAGAGAGAGAGAGAGAGAGGTACTGGTAATACCACTTGTTCAGCTATGAGGATCCAAACCAGTGAGAAGGGAGAACACCACCAAGACTAAACCTTATGATGATTATGTGGAAAAGAGAGAGAAAATCACTTCTCTCACCTGTGAAATGCGAACACGGCAGTCACTTTGGTGTTACTCATGGAGCTCAATTCCACCCCAACACCAATGTGCAAAGGCAAGCATCAACACATTCACAAATCTCCTTCTCTCACTAACCCAATATCACCGAACTCATCTTTCTCTCTCTAACCCATAAATTACCCACAGCGCCATGACCACTTCCTCGAGCCCATGGCATGGCTAAGCGGAGAAAACCAAGCAAAGTTTGATAGAATCAGAGCTTCTCCTCCTTTAACAACAAGTTTCCTCTAGAGAGAGAAAATCCTAAAAAAAGAGGCTCTAGAGAGAGAAAAAAAAATGTTGGGTTTGGTTTGACAGGCTGTGAATTGGCTGAGATGAGAAGAAACCTCTCGTTAATCAGCTGTACATTAATCATGTGTGTGTTTTTGTATTCATTCATGCATGCATGTAACATGGATGCATGCATGTATGATAGATACATGTAAGGGGACGCAAATCTTACTAATCCTACGTAAGCACATGTAAGCTTGTGATCGAGATATTCCAGACAGCTCCTCCACAAAATAAGATAGAAGACAAAAAAACACAGATAAGAGAGAGAGAGCCCCTAGAGAGAGAAAGTGAGAGGATGCTTGAGCTTGGAGAGAGAGAGAGGATGATTGAGCTTATAGAGAGAGATGCTTGATCTTAGAGAGAGAATGCTTGAGCTTAGAGAGAGAGGGAGGATGCTGGAGCTTATAGAGAGAGAGGGAGGATGCTTGAACTTAGAGAGAGAGAGAGGATGCTTGAGCTTATAGAGAGAGAGGAGGATGCTTGAACTTAGAGAGAGAGAGAGAGGATGCTTGAGCTTATAGAGAGAGTGGGAGGATGCTTGAACTTAGAGAGAGAGAGAGGATGCTTGA